TGTACGTACGAACAAAATAAAGAATTATTTTTTTCGAAAACGGATTGTAAAATGGATTTAAAATATACTCAAAAGGGATTTTTTTCGTGACGTCTGTACCTCGTACATATGTATCTCACATTAACTCAAAAATGATTAGCTGTAGAACGATGAAATTTTGTATATATCTCACATTACGAAGTATGTAACTCACATTAACTCAAAAATGATTAGCCGTAGATCGTTGAAATTTTGTATATGGAACTGCTGTAGCAGTAACTGTGTATATAACACCTTCGTATTTCAAAATCGTAAAAAACAACCTTATATTTAGCGTAGGTATAATGAAACACTCAATCGATTTCGAGGGCAGCTAAAGGTCCCTCCTCATCAGGAGAAAGAAATACATAGAAAGAAGAAAATAAGAGTCACAGAAACACGTGGTGCTTATCGCACTGCACGTGGTTTATAACTAGATTTTTAATCAGAGTTGCACTGGCCCGCCTACTTCACTGAGCCAGGCTTGTCTGATCGAGCATAAAGAAATATTAGCGAAGTTAAAATAGGGAGCGAGGGGCAAATGCACCTTTACGCTCAAAATCTGAACTTCAAATAAAAAAAAAAAAAAAAAAAAATTCGTATTTATTTATTAATTATTGTTCATTGAACGAGAGTTGTTTTGTTCCCCTTGAAAACTAATTTCCGATCAATAGCAACAATTATTTGCTTTTAATTTAATTTCTTTTTCAAAGTTTGAAATTTTGATATTCATGATTTACTTCAAGTTCCCGTCAAACATTTTAATTTTATTTTAATTTCTTTTCCAAAGTTTGAAATTTTGTTATCCATGATTTATTTCAAGTCCCCGTAAAACATTTTCAACAATTTACATTCAAGTTACTTTAAAAAACAATTTTCGGAATTAAACTTCCTACCTATGGATTCACTCTTTTTAGATACTTCTACTAAAATTAATATTAGGAGATAATATAATCAATATTTCTTTGGTAAATAAATTATTATTATCTTACTTTGCAGCTGTTGCGCAAGTATTATAATAACTTGTTTTCGAACTAAGCGAATTTAAGATCATACATACTTATTTTCATACTTATTTATATATAATAGATTTTAATAGAGTTTATTTTGTTTTATTAATTATATATATATATATGCACTCACCCCTTTACCCAGTCTTTATTTTCTCAATTGTTGGTCTTTTCATATATTTTCTAATTATAGTAGTGTATTAAATGAAGAAAATATTCACCTCTTGTCAAAAAAGTATTAAATAAATAAAATGAAGACACAATAACACGCCGAATAAATACTAATTCAGAAGTCAAACAACAAAAATCAGCGTTATATTTACAAAATTTTCACAGGACTAGTTTCGATGGTTTTACCGAACCACTTCTGAATTAGTAAATAAAATGAAATAAAAAATAATTTTCGTCGAGTATTGAAATCAAACTTTTATTGCGACCTCCCAGTTTCTATACTCATATTTGATGAAATTTTATATTCGTTAAAAAAAAATAGAAGTTTGGCTTCCGTACGATAAAAATTGACAAGGATATTTTATTTCAAAACTTGAAATTTTTTATATCATTTTCAACTTGATTGAGGAATTGGTTAATTAAGTTAGAATAATTCAAGAAAATAAGTTTAAATAAACTATAGCAAACCATGTGTATAATTTAATAGGTCGTATAATGTTTGCCGCTATATATCCACGTATTAAAAACTTTATCAAGACAAAATCTACGTTTTTAAATAATATAAATAAAACACTTAAATTGTACATTCAAATTAATAAATTCTTATAAATCGTTTAAGTGAAAAATTATAAATCCTTCAGGGTATTACCTGATAGAAGGGACGGACATATACACCCATGCCTTCTCCGGTATTCGAACCTGGGCCCTTCGGTCGACTCCCTTAATCACTATACCGTCTGGGGAACATAAAAAAACGCAAAATCGCGTTTGATAGCTTAACAGTTATTCGGTTTTTAGACAAAGTCTTTCCTACAAATCCAGTTTTATTTGAAATACCATTATTTATATTGAGGTAAAAAGTGTGAACTGAAACTATTATACGATAAGTTTTAAATAGTGTTTTCAGACGTTTCTTATGTTCCTCAATGCAAAAAAAAAAAAAAAAAAAAAAAAAAAAAAAAAATTAAATGGGCCTTCTTTTAAGTAAGTTTTCTTTTGAGTAAAGTGAGCTAGGTCCAAATATAGGACTATTTATACATTATTATGTCTTACATTTTAGTGGCTAACAAATTTGCATTTTTGATTACACTAAATTCATAAGATGGCGTCATTCTCCAAAGCAAGACATTTTATTTCGTAGATAATTTTTAGTTATTTATAACTGAAAAGTGCAAAAAACATTGCAGATATTGCTCTATTATGCAATTGCTTCATTATGCACCATGGTTTATAAATAAAATATTTACAATCATTTCAAGAATTATGTCTGATAATAAATTCGAAACTTTCGAAAACACATAAATTTTCATATTGAACAAGCTTCTAAATGGGCTATTATTTAATAATTGCTAAGTCATAAAATATTTAAAGAAAGGCAATCGAAGCGACAAACAGTGCAGAAGTTGAGAGTATTCCGCCAATATTTAATGCACAGAAGCAGAAGAAATATCGAAAAAATTAATAAATGTTTTTTTTACAAACACATTATGTAATTTAGTTATATAAAACATGTAACCTCTGTTTTCTATTACTTACCTCATTTTATTTTGCATTATATAATAAAAACAGAGTTTCAAAGCTTTACGCATTCTGTCTTCTATTACAAATGCTTATATGCTCATAAATAAAACCGCTGAACACTAGGAGCTCGATCCATGTTAAATTTCCAGGAACAAGATGACTGAGGCATAGGCATTTTATTAAAGATTTTTAACGCTCTCGCTGAGTCTTTAGGCTGCTCTTACACTCCCATCTAACACCTGCTAACTCATGTAACTCCCATCCCTCCTGCTAACCTACTTTTATTTGTCTTTTTAGTTGTATTATTAAGCATCACTCATATTTTCAGAATTCCCGATGCAATGTTAAATATTGCCATATATTTTTATATTTTATTCAGTGTTTTCTCATTTCATATTATCAATGCTCAATTTTCTTAGTAAAAAACTTGTTTCCTGTCTTTTCATTACTAACTTAGTGTATGTTAATTTTATTAAATATAAACTTTCGTTACATAAAATTCAATTCAACAGCGAAATCACAAAATATTTGATATTGAAATATAAATATCCTACATTTTTCAAGGCACAAGCAGATCAAGCCAAAGTAGAACATAAAACAGGTAAAGCGACAACCTTGTATTTGTACATTTTGTAAATTCTCGATCGATGACTGTTTGGTTTATTTAATTATGGCAAAGCACACTAGGGCTATCTGCCTAAGGGGAGGGATGCCTTCGTGGAGGACTTTCTAAGCTCAATCGATGAAAAGCGACCCGTTTGCCTTCGATTGAGAATTTACAAAATCTAAGCCCAAATCAAGGTTGTCGTTTTACCTGTTTCTTCTTACATTTTTCCGAATTGCAGCTGCCGAGTTGGAGATAAAAATGTTTTGTTTCGAACAGTGTTGCCACTGCTCGCTTTCAAATCGTTGAGATTGTTAATTAAAAATTAAAGTTTTACAAAATATGAAAAAATAATAAAACAAATTCGGAATTCAAAGTTCGTGCTTTCAGGTGAAGGATTACATTACTCAAAATTTGATGGCTCTACGTACCATCTTTTTTTTTTTTTTTTGGCAATACATGCAGATTCTTCATTATTTAATTTCTTTAAAAATAATGCAGAGCGATAACATATTTAGTGGCAACAATCTGAAAAGTTACTAAACATTTAAGTGTTTCCGACGCAAAATCCCGAAACGAGACTAATAGCGCTTATGTGTTTTTACCTGTAAAAATTTAGCACAAAATACACATTTAATTTGGTGCTACTTTGGTAGACGGTTGCACGGATTTTTGGCGATTTACGTTGGCCGAATTGTTGGCGCGATTTTTACAAACGTCAGCCATCTTGAAAAACGCTGTTTTTATGCATAGTAACGAAACTTAAAAAATAAATAAATAAATATCGTTAAAGTAATGGATTAATTTTTTGTTGAAAATTCATTTTTTTTAAGATGGCAGGCAAGTGTAAATAAATACATTTACTATGAGTATAAAATACTAAAGTAAGGTTATTATTACTTTCATATAGCAAAGAAGAGAATAAAAACACCGCTATAAAAACTTTGGGCCAACGTTTAATTAGATTAAAATATTACTGAAATTGAATATCGAATTAAAAACCATCATACCGACATTTAAAAGAATTAGAATATTATTAAATTCAAATACTTTAAAATACGTTATATAGAATATAATTAACATTAAAACATGGACAATAATTATCTCAGCAATTTCTGAAAGTAGTGTATTAATTTTTTTAACAAAAATTGAAGTATACAATTATAAAATAAAAGAAAAATATGTACTAACATTTTTTTGAGTGTTTAACCTGTTGTTTATTGATAAGTAGCACAATAAAAAATCAGAATCATAATTTAGATAACATCTTTGAAGACATCTTTGAAGGAATTCGAAGATATAAATTAAATTTTAAAACGGGTCGGAAATGCACAAATTGTCAGTAACCAATCAGGGAGCTGATTACAGCTCGTTAATTCACAACTATTCTATAACCAATCAGAGAGCTTATTACATCACGGCTAGAATTAAAATTATTTAAAAATTCATACATAATAAAATCATTTTTAAAAAAAATGCAAAATTAAATTGTATTTTAATATTTAAAAGCCATAAATAATATTTTAACACGGAATTTATGCACAAACGCACTATTTTTTAAATAAAATGACAACAAAGTATGTTACCATAAAAATTATAACCAAAATTACTAACAAAAAATACAAAGTAGCACCTTTAATTTAACACAAATACAAAATATACGAATTAACACAAAAATGATAAAAATATATCATTGGAGCAGCACTCTGCATCGTTCATTGGTGATCACTGAGAGTCAAAGAAACGCTGGAAATTTAATAGAACTTCTGAAGCTCATCGCAGAATTTGATCCAATTATGAAGGGCCACCTTTCGTATGTGCAGCAAAATCCAGGATCAACTACATACCTTTCGCAAGAAATGCAAAATGAATTTATCCAGTTTCTAGCAGCTGCAGTTAGAGAAAAACTTGTGTGTGATATCCAACGTGCCAAATACTATGGTATACTGTTTGATTCAACTCCTGACGCTGTTAATCAAGAGCAAATGTCGGAAACTATTAGATATGTAGATATTGACTTTGAGGAAAAAACTGTCGTTGTAAAAGAAAGTTTCCTAGGATTCATTCAAACTCATAAAAAAGATGCAGCAAGTATAGCAGGTATAATATTACAACAACTAGAAAAAGACAAATTAGCTTTCAAAGACTGTCGATCACAGTGTTATAACAATGCGCCTGTAATGTCCGGCTACAAGTCAGGAGTGCAACAAAGACTCACAGCACTTAACCCAAAAGCTATATTTGTTAACTGTGATAAACATACACTTAATTTAGTTGGGGTTCATGCTGCTAGTCATGAGGTAACTTCTGTGACGTTTTTTAGTATCAAACAAGCTATCTATGTTTATTTTTCAAGATCAACTTTCCGATGGAATAGACTGAAAACTGCTCTAGGTGTATCGTTGAAGTCGGAGTCAGAAACTCGTTGGAGTGCCAGAGTAGAAGCTGTTAAACCGGTACATGATCAACTCGAAACCTTAGTAGAATTATTTGAAAATATTGCAGAGGATCATGATGAAAATGCAGATACAAGAAGTGATGCAATTCAATTGATCTTAACTTTTGAGTTTTTTGTTCTTCTTTGATTCTGGAATACAGTACTTGTCTAGATTGACAGGGTTCAGAAAAGGCTTCAAGACCCTACTATGAATTTCCACAATGTTGCTCGAGATATTCAGGCTTTACAAGAGTATCTCCTACAAAACAGAGATGAGATATGCATGAAATCTCTCGGAGACGCCAAGGACCTGTGTAATGCTTGTGATGTCCAAGCTGAAAGACGACAGAGGAAGAAGAAGAAACTACCTGGAGAAATTGCAGAAAAAGGAAATGCTGCGATTGGTGAAAAGTATGCTGGACAAAATGCACATAGAAATGGTAGACGGATTCATCAACTTAAAGAAAGTAGGCTCAAATTTTGGCTTTCTTTTAGATATAAACGGACTAATGGCTAGAGGCAACGAAAGTAGATTGAAACAGTGCTGCATTTCTATGGAAAACGTTTACGATACAGACTTGGATGGCTTGGAGATGTATACTGAAATAATGGACTGCCGAATGCTACTCAAGACAAGAGCTGATGTTAAGCTTTCGACGCCAGAGGACCTGCTTCGCTTTATTGTACAGTACGGAGAAGATGTATTTCCCAATCTGAGAGTTGGTCTTCAGATTTTACTGACTATTGGAACCTCCATCGCCAGCTGTGAAAGATCTTTCAGTAAACTAAAACTTATCTTGTCCTACCTGAGATTATCCATGGCACAGGAAAGATTGTCTGCCTTAGCTTTGCTCAGTGTGGAACAGCAGGTTGCCCAGAGTATAAATTTTGATGAACTAATCGATAAATTTGCAGCAGCTAAAGCTAGGAAAATTTCTCTTTGAAATTAGTGATTACATTTGAAGCATTATACATTAAACTGTCATTATACATTTTCAAGTTATTATATTATTATATCCAATATGATGTTTAAGTTTTCGGAATTTATATTTGAATAATATTTTAGAATAATCATATTTTCGAATTACCATTATTATCTTAATTATTTTACTACGTTCTAAGTTAGTGAATTTAGCGAAACCTTAAAAATATACGCTTAAAAGTGCTTTAAAAATTAAAATATTTAAAATTAAAAATATTTCATATTTTAGAAAATTATTATTATTTTAAACAATTAAAATGTTATTTTTAAAGTTTTCTTTTCGTTCCCCACTGCATTTTGGCAGATGACGGGGGGGGCGCGAAATCTTCACTTGTCTCCGGGCGCTGATAACCCTAGCTACGACTCTGTATTTTGTCATCAAAAAAATTGCTTTAAAGACAAAAAGGTGCAGAACTTAACAAAAAATGAATTACGGATTCTCGGACACATTCACGAACAACGGAACTTTGTAACTGAACAAAATTATGTCGTATAGAATTAAAGAGAAAGTATTATCACGTAAAACGAAGCAACTTAAGCAACTTGCATTGAAAGAAATGTTTAATAAAGTAAACAAATAAATATTAACCTTTTTTTTTTTTTTTTTTTTTTAATTTTGATCATAATTGTTCTTTATTTCATAAATTACGCTTTCATATTTTTAATTTTAGAATTTCTGCATGCCATCTAACGAGATTTAAACTGATGATCTATAATCCGGAAAAATCGATAATCCGGAATCGCCGAAGTCCCGACGAGTCCGGATTAACGACTTTTGACTGTATTATTCTTTTTCTTATTTTTATGATAAATGATAATTCTTAAATGGATAAGAATGAATGCATTTATAAAAACAGTCATCTCAATCTTCATAATAAATGACACCTAAAGGTTTTCTCAAAATTTAATACAGTTATTCCCATACATGTTGATTTGGCATTCATAGTTGTTATGGCCAAACTATTATAATGCAAATAACAGAAGAAAAAAATCAAAATACAAAATGCATTTTAAGTGAGAACAGGCCACATCATGCCAAAATAATTTGTACTAAAATTCCAATCATAAGCACAAATATACAAGCATAAAATTTAAAAAAAAAAAAATAAAAATATTGTTCTGACATCAAATACAATACTGCTTAGTTTGCTTATAGTACTTAACATTTTATTCAGGGTTAAATTAAAACATCAAAATTATCAACATTAGAGATACAGAAACTCTATACATTAATAGATAGTTATTTTCTATTTTACTGACATATTAATAAATAAATATAAGGGAGGAGGATGGATGTGATATTTGCCATTAGTGATTAAACTGATTCATTTAGTTACAAATCTCACTGGTAAATTTAGGTAAGCAGCAATAGCAGCAAGAACTCCTAAAATTGATGCCATTCTTAGGAAGCGAGCAGGAAAAGGAGCAATTATTGATCAAGCAACGCGATAAGGAAATACATATTTGATGATAAAGAGGTTTTTCGAATTAAGAACTTTTTTTAGGAGATGTAGATAACCCTAATGTTTCACTAACAGAAAGACTGTGGAATGATCTTTCAGACTTGGAAACCCTTCTTTCTATACCGTATATAACCACAAAAAAGCTGCAATCTAAAGAATTGACAGGAGGTGAGAATGGAAGAATGGGATGTTTGTTCTTTCTGAAATGGAGTAAACCATCCATTTAAGAAAGAACAAACATCCAATTGCAGAAGGAATCATTTCTTCAATGAAGAAAAGAGAAACTAGTTTGCTAAACAATGAGATCGTGCTGGGTTCAATACATACAGATCTGAAACACCGAGTTTTCTTTAATGACGAACAAATTAAAAAGGCAAAGAAAGACATGTATGAACTTTCATTAAGAATGAAATTATTCTCAGAACAATTGGAGAATTCGAATCAGGACAATCAAACTGCAGACATTGCAATTGACTCTATCATCCTTTCCCATTGATGAATTAGATTTTGAGATATATTTTCGGATAATATTGAAACGGCTAAGACAAAGCGAATGAAAATAATAATAATAATAATAATAATAATAATAATAAAACAAGATCCTTTCAATATAAAAATGAAAAAATACAAACAAGATTTCTACACGGCCTTTGAAGAAATAGAGAAATATGATTGCGCTTGCAAGACACCTCTTTTAGAACTTATAAAAATCTATCCTGAAAAGTTAAAAGAAGTAGCCCTAACAGCAACAGCTCTTCCTCCTACACTTAAGTTAGTGTGGAAAGACTCTTCTCAGCTCTGAAGTATATCAAATTGGATGTGTGGCCCTCCAACATAGAAGATCTTGCCAAAGCTATACTGTTTCTTAGAAGTAACTAATGCCAGTTTTTCATTTCATAATAAATGCTAATTAATATAAATAATTTGCTATGCCATCATTTTCTGTAGCGTCTATTACTTCTTTTATATTAAAAAAATAAGCTGTAACCCATGTGTATATGTATATGTATATACAAAATAACTGACTCCCTTATATATATATATATATATAAGTGGGTCGGTTATTTTCCCTACCGACTCCACAGCCCTGATTTTTACAGTAATGAAGTGCAGAAATTAACTATACTTTCTGCTTCGAATTTCATTTTAGCTTCAGTGTCATTTGAGAGTTGAATTCCATGTTCATGTTCTCTTTCATCCAACAACAGTTTGTTAATTTCAATAATTGCAATGGAAAGGATCACAAACCAATGAAATTTGTTATGTTTAACCCTTGGATAATAAGTTTCAAACTGTGATCTCTCAGTTTTGATATGTGACAATATATTATTGCATAATTTTTTTCCACTGACAATATCATGTTCTACCAAAAACAAGTGCAAGGTTGAAAATATGTTTTAAATAAATATTTTTATTTATCACAAACCAAGCTTCCTCTGAAATCCCTTTATTTTATCATGGCACTGAGAACAATCACAGAATAACACTGTAAACAGAAATTTAATTCATCTAGTTTACAAGGTTCGAATCCCCCGAAAGGGCTGGCTGCATGGGCGTTTTCGTGGTTTTCTCCATGTGTAACGTGTATACGAGTCAGTTTTCCTTAGAAAGTCCTCCACGAAGGCGTCCTTCACCTTAGGCAGATAGCCCTAGTGTGCTTTGCCCTAATTAAATAAACCAAACCAGCTAGTTTAAAAAATATGCCTGAAAAACTTCCCATGGTGCTTAGCCATGTGTCATGAGCAAGAAATGATTTAAAATATATTAATTTCCTTTACAATATAGAACTTTCTGTTTTAATTCAGGCTGTTCTGAGGTTTTCGATTAATAAAGTTGATTATCTTAACCCTCTCCTGTAACAGAATTTTGAAGACATACCTGTCAAGTCTTCTTTATGAATGAAACTATGAATTCAGATAACATCAGGTGCCACAGCTGTAACTTTAGCTACTATGCCACTATGGCTACCGGCAAGTGCATGACTTCCATTCACACAAAAACCTACACATATTTTGCAATTAATTTCCTGGTCTTGCTTAGACTAATATAGGACTTTAAAAATTTGTTCTCCAGTTGTATAAATTTGCAGTGTTCAAAAATATCTTGACGAGCATCAATGTTCAACTCATATGGGATATAATAGTTACATATCAATCAAGTGGACTTCATTCGAAACATCTATTGTCTCATCTGTTATCGCAAAACGTCAGAGAAAAAACGTTTTGTGAAAGAATATGTTTCTTCTTAACACGTGCTGCTCAATTTCCTGTACACATCATGGAGGGGGAAATTCTCGCTGTCAGGTTCCACTGCCAAATTCCTTGGCAAATTTTCCCTCCACTTTCCAGTGGCATTTTAGCAAACTGGTTTACATTATATCTATAGAACCTTTCCTTCTTTACATAGACATTCTTTGGGCAGGGTTGCCAGATTTGGTGTGAAATAGCCCATTTGGCAATATGCCATGAATGGAGCAAGAACATTCTAGAACATATTATTAGTGGTTTTCTCTGGAATACTTTTGAAAACAGGTTATTCTCGGGAATACTCTTGAAAGCTATATATACCCTGCCTGTACAGGGAGAAAGTAGTGTCTTAAGTTCAGATAGCTTGAGAGTGATCAACCAGTCAGGAGCTGTATTTAGTGCGCTCTGAGCTGTCTTCATGTTAAGCTAAGGCGTTTTTGTGTTTCAGCTGTTTTTG